GGGTCTCATGAAATACTCGTTTGGGTTAATATGTCCCTTGTGAGCCCTCCATGTTTAGAGAAGTACAATTACAAAATTGTTGGATAAATCCTTTAAATTAATTACATTTTTATGTCATCTCTCATTCTCTTATCTCTGTGTAGAGATCTTTCAAAAACCAAGCCAGCGATGCCTCACCTGTGCTTGTTCCTCTCCTCTCTCTCTATCCGCTGCAGTCTCTCCTCTCTCTCCCCGCGGCGGCGCTCCCGCTCGGCCGCCAGAGATTCCTGGTGTTGTCGGTAAGAGGAGGAGACGAGACCTCCCAAAGCAGGCCTGAAGGAAAGAGCGAGAGAAGAATAAAAAAGTTTTGATTACACAACTGCACGGCAATGCTGTGATTCTCAAGAACCATTTGGGTTTTTCAAGCACTCCACTGCGATAGTAAACATTTCTTCCAAGAGCCTTGTGCGAAAGATTGAGGTCTGGGGTGAGCAACTGTGGCACGCTGCCCATTTTTAAATGAATGAATTAACTGGAGTATGGCTTAAGCATATTTCTAATAAATTGCACCTTATGCACATTGCCCATCCTTATTAAAACACTCGATGTCGACTAAATTAGTGAAATGATCTCTGCATTACCCTCTTATATTACATTACTCTCACAATATTTCACCATTTCTGTGTATTTTAAAGGATGTTTTAATGTATGTGTGCAGGTACATGTCGGTGCTCTCCTTTCACCTGGAGCTGGTGGGCGTACTTGGGGAGCTGAGGGAGGAGTAGGACGTGAGACTTCCATTCCTGGGTGAGAGAAGGGGTGAGAAAATGGGTGACAGTGAGTGACATCTTCAGTCACCCAGTTACACGACACCAAGGCTGCTGGCGAGAAACGAATGTGACACCTTGTTACATAACAGGAAGGCTGTTGGTGCAACACTAGCGTGGCATTGATTCATAACGGTTGTGTTGTTTATTTCCTTGTGTTTCTGGAAGATTCCAGGCAAGGAGTTTCACCTCACTATCAGTCCGCTGTGAATCGGAAAATACCCTTTGCGAAAGCATATTTATGTTCACAAGTTATTTAGCCAGGCAAACATTAAAACTGAGGTGAAATGGTGTAAATATGCACAATTATTAGACTGTGAGTCAGCATCGGAATATAGGATTGTCATAACTTTATATGGAAATACAGTCCTAATATAGCAAGAAAAAAATCTTACGTAGTAATACAGTGAATGGAAATGGAGTTCCACTAAATAACCATAAGAAGAGAGGATATATTACATACTGTACTTGAAAAGAAGGGAAGAGCTGTGACACTGGGAAACAAAGCAGTGATTGCAAACAGGTGCGAACTATCCACGCATTGACAGAGCTAAGAAAAAGAGACGTGAAGGAACAATAGGTGATAATAAGAGAGTTGACAGGCTGAAGGTGTGAAGCAGTGCAGTCAAAGAAGTGTGAAGAACTGGTGAAAAGTGGAGGTGATGAAAAACAAACGTGGTGCAAAGAGATCCAAGCTGGTGCAAGGGTGAAAGCCAGAAAGAGAAGTGGAAATAGAAAAAGTACAAGTGGAACACCGAAGACCTGCAAGGAAAGCGTTCTGTGCTTCTTGAACTCATGGGAGACTGAGTTCTCCTGACCGTCTAACCTGGGAGACGTCGTTTTGGGTGACTCCTCGCTGGGTTTGGGCGGAGCCGGGGGTGACGGCTCCTCATGGAGGTCGTAGGAGAACAGGTGGAAGGGTGAGTGGGGCATGTAAGGCAGGCATTCGGGGGTGGGACGGGAGCTGCCGCGTGATGGCGGGGTGACCTCCTTGGTAGCCGGTACGGTGACGATGGACCTCTTCCTGGCCAGCAGGCTGGACAGAAAGGAGGGTTGTGCTGGGGGGCTGAGAGGGGAGGAGACTGAGGGAGAGAAGGTGGGAGTAGATGGGGAGTGGTGGGTGGGCGCTGGAGGTGGTTCAGTCCGATTCCTCTGCTCCTCCTCTTTTATATTCTCCTTTCTGGAAGTGATGGTGATGGACTGGACGGATGTTCGGTGACCTATGGTTGGAAGGTGCCTGGCCGGGCTAGGAACAAAGGAATGGATTGAGAGGAATAAATGGACGAAACTGGGCAAATGAAAGAGAAGTAGTACCATGTGTAACCCACTGGAGCCAAAGCCAAGTACATAAGCCACAAGGAGATCAAACCAACCGAAAACAGAGACAACTAAAGAGCTTTGTGGCTTCATATACAGACCGCCTATGTACTATAAGACCACAGGTCATTACTTCATTTAAATGTTACCACCATGCCCTAAAATACCTGAGGGTGGTCAGTTTAGACACTGTATCAGCCCCCTCCTGCTCATCTGAATCAGACTCAGTCACTGGAGTCTCCTCTTCCTCCTCCTCCTCCTCCTCCTCCTCTATCCCATCCTCACATTCTTCCTCTCTGTAGTAGAGGCAGGGTGGGGAAGGATGAATGGATGGTTGGGTGGGAGGGGAGGATTGAGGGAGAGATGATGCGATACATAAGACAAGCATGCAAATGGAAATCACCACACTTTTGAAGAAATGAACAGACGGAAGGGAACAAAAGGAGGAAGGGAGAGACGGAGGGTTAGATGAGATTGATGTGTGGAAATAATATGAACAACTGCACAATCAAACCACAAAAAACATATGTGACGCTCAAAGACAACAGACAAGGACATGGACAGGGAATTAAGTGACAGAAAAAGACAAGGTTTAAGACAAGAGAAAACACAGAAATGAAACAGGGGAAAGGGAGGGTGAATGTTTCACATTACACACTCCATGTCTCCAGGGAGGTAGTTTTACATGCACAAGTAGATGTTGACATGGAAAGGGAAAGGAATGCTGAAAGGAGAATAAGCCATGGCTGAAGAACTGACTTGAGATCAGTGTCACCCGACCGCATTGCCTAGTGAAACCAGACGAACCTTGTTGCAGCGAGTCGGAGTGTGCTGCCAGGTGTTGTTCCACAAGACCAGAGCCATGTGTGTGCGACGAATGGGACGGCCAATAAAAGTTTTGTTTGTGTTTCTGACTTCCACCCATTACTTCATTCAATCAACCATATTCAAGTGGATTCACACGCAACTATGTAGAATTTTTATTTCCGTTTCAAGATACAAATGTGTGCTAGAATGCACACTCCTACACACAACCACCATTTTAATGCTAATGGGTGCGACGGACATAACCTGCTTCGGTCAAGTTACAAACTGACAGGATAAAGAGACAAAGTGTTGAGGACATAAAGAGGAAAGACTTACCTGAGGTTAGCAGCTACAACCGGCTTTAATTCCCCTTTTTGCGCATACATACACAGCACTGAAATAAGCCGGTGATGGTTTAATAAAGTGTAAGCTTGTATTAGAATCACAAACGCTGAAGGCTTGTGCAGCTTTTTTATCACTTTAAGTGGAGCACAAGTCTGCACCAGTATTTCCATGCAGAATGAAAAGCCCACTCAGAGTGCTCAATTGTGACAGGAGACACACAAGTATGTTACAGCATGTAAGTAAGGAGCAGGGGTAGGAAACCATCGGCAGAAGGCCACAGAGGTCAGCAGCTGAACTTCTTTCTAAGAGACCTTTGAACTCACATGGATGGAAGGAAACCTGACAGTGCTCTGGAGCAGAAAATGTTGGTACAAGACAGTCAGTACTCAAAAGGGATAACAAAAATTTGGCACCAATCATTCTTTTCACCTGCTGAGAACCAACACCTTCATGACGCTTTCTATAATGTCCCTATAACTTGTTAATTCCGACACTCCTTCATCTTTTCCCAGTCTCTCACCTCCCGCTCGTGTCCTCAGCTCTCTGTCCATTGAAAGGCTGGAAGCCGGCTCTCTGCGGGGACGGGCTGCAGGGGGAGGCCTGACCGGTTCGCCCAAGAGAGGCCCTGCGGCTCCGCCTTCTCTCTAGGCCACACTTTTTGTCACCGCCCCCAAGGCTGACTCGTCGGCGGTCCCGGCGTCCCATTGGCGGAGGCTGGGTGTCATCGTCGCCATCTTCATGCCGTAGGGTCATCTGGAGGAAAAGTCGATTGGGTGGGAGTTGTGATGGAGGACTGACGCATTGAGTAAATGTACTATAAATACTGTATGGAGTCCTATTCATTGAATGTAAGCAGCACTTACTAGATGAATTCTTAAACAAAACCCAAATATCAGCTGACAATATCTTCCTTGTGATCTTATGACTTTGTGTGTCTCAAACCTCATAGATGTTGAGCTGCTCAACCAAGTCCAGATCTGTGCCTTTCCGCCCCAGATGTCTTTGGGACACTGTGTCCATGCCTTGTTCCTCCAGACCATCGACCATGTCGTAAAATGAGTCCTGATCAGGCAGTGTTGCAAGTGTCTGCAAAGAGAAAAGGAGACGGAAAAGTCATCAAGGCGTAACTGAGGTTTGAAATGCTTTTAAACATTTAAGTGGCTAAATTCCCAAATATTGCAATGTTGCATTACAGTAATTTCATTATAGTTGGGGCAGAGAATCCCTGAAACAGCACAATTAAAGAAATGTTGGGGGGAACTCTGGGATATCTTTAATAACAAAATTAATTAAAAAAAATGAAATAAATAACAAATTAAGGAAAGAAAAGACCAGACTGGCAAATACAGTACGGGTACTTCTGCAAAACCTCAAGGTTGCGCCACTTGTTGAGGGGATTAGAAAACTGAAGATCCAATAGATGTCAATGTAATGTTATGTGTGTTTGAATCAGTTGTATGTTTTATTTGTTGTTAAACGAAAAGGTTGTTTTATAGACATGTCGAATAATTATTTTGCGACCTTGCCTGTACCGAAGAGTTCAAGATACTAAATTAAGGTTGATCAGTTTGCCGTCATGCCCCTTCAGTCCTGGGTTGTATAAATGACCCAACCCAGTCATCGGATATTGCTTATCCATAGTTGGAAGAATCACCTGGTATTGTTAGGCTAAATGTCATCTGTTAATAACGAACCTGTTTATAGCCAGCTGTTTGATCTACAGTCTGATGCTGCTGTACTCTATGACTGTACTGCAGCTATCTATCCATCGGTAATAACTGTCACCAGCATCATTTAGTCATTTACCGCACTGAAGGTGAATATTCAAGTATCTTATGTGCCTGAAATGTCCGGTTTGATTTGTTTCACAACCTGCCGCACAACAGATTTCCGGAATTTTCCCATTTCTCATCTAATGTGACAGCTTTCCCCCAAAATACGGTGTGGCCTTTTGGATGACGAGATGCCGGTCTGGTCTGTAATACCAGTGTCCATATCACAGTTATATAAGTACATAATAATAAAAAAGTGTATAAACATTCAGTATATAAACACTACAGACATGGGCACCTTATTAATGAGGGTCATGGCGTAGACCAGCAGCTCTGTGTCCACTCCGTCCTTCTCATGCAAAATCTCCATAGTATTGGACCACGCCTTGCATCCTGGAAATCAGTCCATTACAAATAAAAGTCACTCTTGATGCAACCACACCTCCTTATATGTCAACCTGGGCCATAAACTAAATAGTTAAATAACACAGCATAATGAATGAGAACAAGCTCCTCTGCAGCTCGTGGCGTGTTGACTGATTTAATACCTCTCTTGGTGTCCACAGAGGTGATGGCTTCTATCAGCAGTGGGGCGTTGGACTCGGAGTACTCAACAAACACTAACAATAGCTTCAGAGTTGTTTTCACCACCAGCCGGAACTTGAGAGGAGGAATACAGATACAGAAACAACACAAACAATGGATATATTATGGTGACCATCATGTTGGAAACATGTTTTTCTATTCTATTCGCATCATGATATATCTTTAAATCCTTGTTTATTATGGGCTTCTAGACAAGAGAGTTTAAATTCACATGGTATAGATTTAGCCATATGGGCAACAAGGAAATTCATATAGACCTTATTTATGTTTATATGTATATCTCTCAATAATGTTGTCTCAATGATGATAAGATGGCTTAATGATGTTACTCCAAGTTTTACAAGTTTAATATTAGATAAAGATAGGGAGTCCTTTTGCTGTAAATGTGCTACTATATGTCCACATTGAATATTATTCAAATGAAAGGCATTCTTATAAATTAACAAAAAAAGAAAACGTTGTGCTTCAGCCACTGTAATCAAAACTGATACTTTAAGTGCAAAGAGCACCTTCACACATGAAAATGCCACAAGGCCAACAAAAGACACCACAAACAAGTCAGGACACAGAATACATCGACAGCCTGCTTGAGTGTACATTCTTTTTTTGTATTTTTTGTTTTTTTGTATGGATGCTCATCTATACCTTTGAGCCAACAAGAGTGTACAGCCACTGGATTGTCTGAGCATGCCCAATGACACCGTTCATCCCATCTACATACAGCATGATCTGCCCCAGAGCTGAGAAAGAGGGAGGAGAACGAAACAAAGAGTTAGAGGGAGAGGACAAATATAGAAAGATGATTCAACACTTGCTGTAAACAAACCAACCGAGCACACCAAATTGCAACTGTGTGCAGCACACAAGTCCATCTACTGTAGCTATATATAGCAGGGACTAAAAGTTTCCTCCCTTGGATCTTTATGATCTTTAAAATACAAAGAGCAGAAAATGGAAATGATTTGGAAAAGTAATTGTTTTCAAGCCTAAGTGGTATACTTTATTTTATATAAAGTAGTTCCAGCTCAACCTGCTTGAACATTAAAGGATAATAAAGTACAAATGTAATACATGCACCTTAAATTACTTGAGAACTTGTTGCTAACACTGCTGGAAAATCCACAAAAAACAACCGACTGAGAAGGAAGTCTACCAACCTGGAGCTTGGTTAGAAAGTTGAGGAGGACAGACGAGAACTGGACACTTAACCAAAATATAAATAGATTGAAAGTCAAAATGAAAGTGAAGACAATTCTATTATATAACGCTACGACCTAGATAATAAAAAGAGTTTCTGTGAAGCAAGATAGAGGTCAGCTCACACACATCGAGAACGAGAGACGGAAGAAACAAGTTTGATTTCATCCTCCTGAACCATGTATATGGACTCGAATTTGAAAGCTGAAGTTTTGTCTTCAGTTCTTGGACAAATTGTTAAAGCCTATGACAAGAACTTATGCAAGACAAAAGACAATATTTTGAGTGTTGATGACTTTCATCTCCACAACCTCATCGGGCAAAAACAGGCTCGTGGGAAGCAATTTTTCATCGACGGGATAACGTTTTTTGACTCTGTGTATGATTACGACTTCACTGATCTCTCTGACTCGGCTGAGTATATGAGAGGGGATGAGCTTTACCAGCGCCCAAAAGGTTGGTACCACATGGCCTTAAAGGTCAAAGGTAGATATCCAGATGGAGACGCCTGGTTGGGCACAGAAGGATGGAGGAGTCACTCTGTGCCTGGAGA